TCTATCTATCTATCTATCTATCTATCTATCTATCTATCTATCTATCTATCTATCTCTCTATCTATCTATCTCATGACCAGGAAGCCCGGAAGATCAACGCTGCCCTCCATCAACACATCACATACAACGAGTACCTGCCTTCCTTCCTCAATGATGCGACACTGTTGACCTATCGATTACGTGTCGGGGATTACCGATACAATCCCAAAGTCGATCCCAGCGTCTCCAACGCGTTCAGCACTGCTGCTTTTCGTTTCGGTCATTCACAGATTCAGACAAAAGTGAAAGTAAGTCCGTCTTTTTGTTTGTGTATATAATATATAATTATGTTGGAGTGTTTTTATGTGTACGTTTGTCCATGTGTCTGTCGGTTTTCGGGTGGCTGTTGGTCTGTCTGTGTGTATTTTTAAGTAACTGATTAACTAAGTAACTAAGTAACTAATTTATTAACCAACAACGAAACTAACTAACTAACTAACAAACTAACTAACCAACTAACTAACAAACCAACCAACGAACGAACGAACGAACGAACGAACCAACGAACGAACGAACGAACGAACGAACGAACGAACGAACTAACTAACTAACTAACTAACTAACTAACTAACTAACTAACTAACTAACTAACTAACTAACTGTAAAGTTACCTGGCGGTCCGATGAGTCGGGTCTGTCAGGGGGCCCCCGTCCAAGATAAGTGTTGCCTTGTCGTGGTCCTGAGTCCGACTGAATATCTCAGTGAGTCTCTCAGACGATCTCCGCGTATTTCCCGCGGAACCCTTGACGTCATCCAAGGGCGTGCCACTCCCTTTATTATCTTGTCCCCACAGTAAAGATAAGAGTCATGTCCCTTGACATAGAAACTAACTAACTAACTAACGTATCAACTTAAGAAAGAAAGAAAGAACGAACGAAAGAACAAACGAACGAACAAACAAACGAAGGAAGTGAATAAAACGGTAAACAAATACATAATAGAAGTATAGATCAATAACATAACATAACATAACATAACATAACATAACATAACATAACATAACATAACATAACATGACATAGTATGGCATAACATAACATAATACAACATAACATAATATAACATAACATAACATAATATAACATAACATAACATTTCATGACATAACATAGCACAACATAACATAACATACCATAAAGTAACACAACATTATATAGCATAACATAACATAGCATAGCATAGCATAACATAACACAATGTAACATAACATAACATAGCATGACATAAAATAACATAGCCTAACATAACATAACATAACAATAAATGACATAACATAGAATAATATATCATGAAATAACATAACATAACATAGCATAACATAACATTATAACACAACATAACTTAACATGCCATAACATAACATAACATAACATAACATAACATAACATAACATAGCATAACATAACATTATAACACAACATAACTTAACATGACATAACATAACATAACATAACATAACATAACATAACATAACATATAACATAACATAACATAACATAACATATCACAACACAACCTAACATAACAAGCTATAATACACACCTCGACACTTGTCTCGTCCCTCACTTCTGCTTGTCCTCTTCTGTCCTCAGGTGGGAAGAGACGAATTCAAGATGGAGAACACTTTGATGAGGCCCCACCTGGTGCTCACCCGCCTGGATGAGGTGGTGGAGGGGTTAGCGTTCACACAGGCCGAGAACGCCGACCAGTTCTTCGTGCGAGCCATCACCGACAGACTCTTTGAGAAGGATAGGAGGAAGCGGGTACGAACGAAACGGAAAAAAAATGTGTATTATAGTTGGGGTTTCGTTTTGTTGGGGTTGTTTTTTTTGTTTTTTTTAACATTTTGTTTTGTTTTGTTTCTTTGTGTGTTTGATTGTTTATTAGTTTGTAAATTGTTTGCTTTCGGTTCTTGTTAGTGGGGGGGGGT